TGTGTGTGTGTGTGTGTGTGTGTGTGTGTGTGTGTGTGTGTGTGTGTGTGTGCCGCTGCCCTGTCTAGTGGAGGAGCCAGCAAGATGCGCGCCAAGGCGGGGCAAGCATCCAAGCAGGAGGTGGAGGACGCGAAGTCGAGATGATGCAAGGATGCGAGGCGAGGCAAGGTGAGGCGAGCCAACCAAGTGCCACGACGTCAGGGGGGCTAGTGAGCAACATGAGAAGCAGAGGCGTAGAGGGCCAGGAGGAGTGAAGCAAGATGAAACGGATGGCCTGGCCAGTACTCAAGGCCCGCACGTTCGGGAGTCAGATACGCAGCAGAGAGATGCGCTCAGACAGCACACAGACATAAGTGCGGGACACACGACCGAAAGACAAGAGACATACAGACAGCGGAAGAGAGAGAGAGAGGAGAGAGGTTGGGAGAGGAGGGCGCCGGAAGAAACTGGGCAGAGGGGGGTTGTAAGTGGGTGGGAAGGGGGTTAGCTAGGCGGTGAGGTAGGGGAACTGTTGGCTATTGGAGCCGCATGGGGCCGGAGCTAGGTAGCGGCCTGCCGACCAACCACAGCGACAACGGCCACGGGCAGACAGCAGTCCGAGCAGACAGCTAGCCGCCGTCATCGGCGTCCTCGGTCGCTGGCTGTCCTAACGCCTTGCCCCGCTACTCGCCCCTAACCGTGACCGATCTTTGTTCGTTTTCGGCCTTTTTTCAACTGTTGTGCTGTCTCCGGCTTGTCTCGATTCTCGCGTCAAGGCAAGAAAAAACAGAAACGAAGGAAACGGGCCACCACTTGTCGCTGTGCGAGTATCGAACCTTCGATCATTTGATCAACATTCATTGGCCTACATCATTCCTCCTGCCGCCCTTCCGCACCGCCTTCTTTCTTCCGACCTTTTCTGTCTTTTCTGCGATTTTCTTTTGTTTCTGCCCGCCCCACGGATCGACGGGTCGGGAAAACACGGAAAAAAAAAAAAAAAAAAAAACGCGCACCACCGCAAGAGGAGGGAAACCCCCACAAAAAACAGAAGCATAAATTGTACCTTCACATTGGCGCACTTGTTTGGTGCGGCGGTAGGCCGCTAGGTCGGTAGGCCGGTTGGCCGGTAGGCCGGTTGCGCGCTGCGCCATCGGTCGTAGTAGGGAACTTCCCGACAAATCCCCCCATCTGCTCCGCGCGGAAATGCTTGCAATTGCTTTTTTTTTCTTTTTTTTTTTTTTGGATGCTTGCAATTGCAAATCCCTCAAACACCACTTTCTTCCCACCTCTTGCAATGAACGTCCAGTCCAGTCCAGAACTCGTTACACTAACCAAACCGTTACCTCTGAGCCGTAGATCACTGCCATCGACGACCAACGAGGTGTTAATTTAATGCCGGTTTGGGTAAATTAAATGCGCAACCAGTCCACTTCGGCACATTGGATGATGAATGCCACCAGCTTGGACAACCGCCGTGGGAACGACAGAGAGAGAGATTAGGCCAACGTGTGTCATCAGCGAACCATCCGCGCTTGACGCTACATAGGAAGATAACTCAACCACGCCCACGTCGCCCAGCGCAACAAAGCCAGGCTTTGATTTGATGGAGTACCTCTCCTGGGGCGAGGTGCTACGAACAAAGAGGGTTGTTGGATTAAAAGCCTGAATCTGGAGGGTTTTCAGGCAGAGATGCAGAAATGCGGTTCAATCTAGACTTTCCGCACCTGTCCACAAAGGCGTCCAGGTTCGGGCATTCAATCCAATCCTCTTTGCTAGTCGAACCTCGTCCCTGACGTATCATATGTGACGACTCCCCGCCTATCAACGAAAGGGGTCCACGGTCCACCACAAGTTTGTACTTCTCCGGATCATGGAAAAGATGGGGAAAGGAAAAAAAAAGAGAAAAAAAAAAAAAAAAAAAAAAGGGGGAAAGTAATGGCGAAGACTCATGTACTCATGTGGACGGGGGAGCCTTCCAATAAAAAAAATAAAACACCTACCCCTCAGCCAAAAAGCCGCTCTCGCGGACCCGGTTTCCAGCACAAGCTTCAGTACCGGGTTGAGATGTTGAGGGATTCCCGGACTCAGGGCGAGATCCCACTAGCCCCTATTGTTCATTTCTGACCGTTGATCTCGTAATCGAGGGTGAAAACTGAATAATCCAGGGTAGTGGGATCTGACCCTCATTCAATTACTCTATAATAAAAGCTGCATTTTATTATAAAAAAAAAAAAAAAAGCCGCTCTCGCCAAGATGTCACATGCTCTGCCCTCAGCCAAAAGCCGCTCTCACCAGTGTGTCACAGCTGTGGCGCTATGATAGCATGAGATGACCTAAGAGGCAGCCGAATGGGCATTGCATGACAGCTATGGGCCTTCAGGATTCAGCAGCTTGTAAGTGTGAATGAACAACCATATATATCTTGCTTGACTTCCTGATGAAATGGGACATTGGGAAGGCAGTGGAAACAGATTTCGAATATCACAATCGGATGGGCGTACTCACACTAGCTCTTTCCCAAGTCTATCTCCCGCAATTACGGCCGGACCTGGATACATCTGACCGCATTCAGGTCCAGCTCAGTTGAAAAAGTCTTGAGTGTGAGTATGCCCTACCTGGGCACACAATAGGGCAGCTGCCCTGGCCTGGAATGGTTTTAGACTACCTGGGCACCGGGCAATTACCTAGCCAGTAGCTCCTGAGTTCATACCAAGAAAAAGCTGAAAGTCACTACCATGCACTCGGGTCTTTTTCCTTTCTTCTTACGGCCATTGCATAGCAGCTACAGGATTCAGCAACTTGTGAGAGTGAATGCTCAACTATATATAGCTTCACTTGGTGGTGAAATGGGAATGCACTGATAACAAAATTCAATATCACATTAGGATGTCCATTCTGGGCGAGTGGAGGAGAAGGGCATCTAAGGGCGCACTCACACTAGCACTTCCCGGCCAGACCTGGATGCATCTGACTACAGTCAGGTCCAGCGCCGGGTTGAAAAGTCCTGAGTGTGAATATGCCCCCGGGCACACTCTCCACACGCGAAATGAAAAAAATCACGATTTCGTTTCATGTTCACACTGCCACACGGCCCTCACGAATTTCAGCGGTGAAAAAAAATTGCGAGGTGTCAGGTGCTCTCCAGAAAGAGGAGGGGATCGCGTTTCGCGAGGAGGTTGCTGCCGCCCGCCTGCAGCACCTCTATTTTCGTGGGTCCTTGCAAGGAACCACAAACTGCCCGCCAAGTTGCGCCAACTCTCACGAACCCTTGTGGGTGTGTCCAACGCGGAGTATTGTCAAAGTTTCTGCAATTGATCAAGACTCGTTTTTCTTTTTTTTTTCCTTTTCGTACTCATCAAGACTCGTTTTTCTTTTTCTTTCCCTTTCCATACTCATTGGTTATCGTTCGTGTGCTCCGCGTGGCCATGCTGTGACGCCCAACCTCACGCCCAGCACGACTTCCTGATCGGCGTGAAATGGGGGCCCGGAAGTGCGAAAAAGGGGTGTGCCAAGGATTTTAGGAAAGTGGGGGTGGAGTCCCAGGTCGGAACTGTGACGAACCACTTCCCGACCCCATGCTATCTTTCGTACCCCTTGACTCAATACCCCCTTTTTGTATCATACTGACCCCACAAAAACCGCGTCGCTTTTCTTGATTTCAGGCGCCTTGTTTGGGCCCCCATTTTCGGAAGTTCTATTGATTCTTGGAATTCTGCTTTTTGTAATTCGGGAAATGCATGGGAAATTACGCGCGCCTTAGCGAGTGCACTGGGAATCGGGCTCGACAGTTAGGAATTCCGGAATAAGCGGAGCCCGACGTGTCTTTTTCTTTGCATGTATGTTCTCGGTCACGACGGAGAAAACTCTAGGAATTTTGTGAGAATACGGATAAGCATAGGACTTTCTTTTCCCGCGTCGACTTTCGCGCGCGGATATGGTGATTTCAATTTTTGAATTGGTGTAGGACATAGGCAAACTGTAATTGTTTTGGTGCCTTATTTTCTCTTGGTGTTGGCACCGCGCATGCGGGATTCCTCCTCCTTATTTCCCGCGTCCTTCTTCCCCC